AAGCTGAAAATCTACATTTGACCTTTATTGTGACATTTGACCTCTCAAAGAACAATAAGTTCCACAATGGCACAGTGGTGGACACAGCTAACTAAACCTTTAGCTTTGCTAACTCTTAAAGTGCTACACCAGCGCCATGTTTAGCAGAAGCTAATGCTAAAACAATAAAACAACACTGTAGTTACTCTAACCTAATGTTAAAGGCATACAATAATATACCTAATGAATAATAGTGGAAGCTAATGCTAATGTGCTATACAAACACATTATTCAGTGGAAGCTAATGCTACAGCGCTATACTAACAGATTTAGCGGAAGCTAACCAAACTTCAACACAGATGTTGAACTTTGTCCAACTGAAAGTTAACAAAATAGCCAATAAATTAGTGCTTTGGAATGTAGGGGAAGCTAAGTGTGCTAAATGTTCTCAAAGTTAGCAAAAAGCTCTAAACAAACATTTGCTCTGCTATTAGCGCATTAGCAGGAGTGTGCCATCTGTCCATCCTCACCTGCTTCCAGGAAAGACTCCAACTAGAAACCGGACCCGTCCCGTCCGGGTCCAGTCCACACGTCTGTGATTTGTACTTCCTGTTCCTGGGACACTCTAAGGTCATCAGCAGGGTCCTCCTCTCTTTGGCCTCTCTGGCCTTCAGGTAAAGGTACTTTGGTGGCTTCAGGCTCATCCAGGACTCCCTCCAGCACAACCCAAACACGTCCACTTCCACTTTGCGTTTTTGCCTGTGACGTTTCGGGGGAAGACCTCCTGGGGGGCGGCGGTGGCGGCGGAGGCTCCGCTTGACCTTTGGAGGTGGAGGAACGATTTTGAATTTGATTTTAGGCTTTTTCTTCGTCATCTGTCCGGGTCGTCGCCCTCCTGAAGTCGGAAATCTCGTCCTTCAGCTGGTCTCCGTTGGACCAGTGGTAGGTCCACTTTGAGAAAAGACTGGAGAAAAGAAAAACAATCTGTTTGATTAAATATGAAAAACTTGTTTTACATGAACTGAGAAAACAGAATTGTCTTACATTTCAATCAGTCAATTACATACGGAGGTCTGGTCCTGACAAAACTGCCCATAGTAATAATAATAATTACGTACTTAACATTTCAAATGTTGCCTCCAACACATAAAATATACACAACTTACTTGATATTTTAGTCAGACAAATGTATATTTATTGTTTTTTTACTGTTTTATTTAGTTGTGAAGGAATAAATGTTTTGATCTTTACACTTTAACGGAGCTTTTCCGTTTCCATTCAGCCTCCTGTTTGCACTGGTCTGCCTCGTTCTGGGCTATTTTCTCCCACTGGTCTCTCAGTCGGCCGTTGCTGAACGATCTCTTCTCTTCCTTTTTGGACAACATTGTTTCCTAGGAGAAACATACAGATTTATTATCTCTGTGAAACAACATTAAAAAGTCATTCTTAACAACAATACAAAAGAAATAGAAAAATTATAGTAAAATAAATACAATCCAGGCTTGTGTATTAGTCTGGTTTTTGATTTTGATTTATTTATTTCTATATTTTTTAGATAATTTTGGCAGGATCACTCCTCCGTACAGTTAGTTCCAGGAACAACATGTCACAAGTTATTTGCTCAGAGAATGAAAACAACAAGCAGCAGCTCTAAAATTAAACTTTGCCCGGCAACAAGAACCTCCAAACTGAGGAATATGGAGATAAACACAGATATTAAATCAACTCAGATATTAAATCATATTCTGCACATCAACACAACAACTCTGATGCTCAAATGTATGACTTTATATACCGTAACTGGAGATTTGTAAATATGGAAAATGTTTAGTTTGTTATGTGAAAATGGAAGAGCTGCAGTCAAAGGTTTTTAAAGAACGGCTAATTTTAAAACTAGCATCAGAAACTTCGACCGTCTGGAGGATTTACTTTGCATTTCAGCCTCATCCGTTTTAATAAACGCTGTAAAATTAGAGGATGACTTCAGGGATCCTCGACCAGCTGCTGTCTGAGACGCTTCCCAAAAAAACCCAAACATGTTTCACAGAGCCGATGATTTAATTAAATCTCTAATGCAGAATATTAAAGATCTGCAAGTTGGTTTGTCTGGCAGTTCTCCATAGTAAAGGGAAAATAAGGAGGAAAAAAAAACAACTCAAATTCTTCTGCTCTCACCGAACGCACACCCGTTGCCATGGAAACCGGCTGACATCAGCTCCACTAGCCGACAGAATAAACTCAAACATTTCCCACTCGGACAGAAGATTCAGTCCGTCACCATTTATGATTTCAGGATCAATGTTTATTTTCTGATTTTTAATAATCACCTGAAAATGAGCGGTGATTGATTAGCTAGTGATTGATTAGCTAGTGATTGATTAGCTAGTAATTGATTAGCTAGTGATTGATTAGCTAGTGATTGATTAGCTAGTGATTGATTAGCTAGTGATTGATTAGCTGGTGATTGATTAGCTAGTGAGCACCAACCAGCAGGAACAAAAAATGTCTCAGTTTGACACATTTTCTGGTCCAACTTCAGACTAACAAACGTTTGTTGATCTGAAGTTAAACTGTCTCTGTTTTCAGCTCTCAGTGTTTTTCTGGAGCCTGAAACCATTAGTGCCAAAATGTCAACATGCAAAACTAGAATCCCACAGAACAAACTAAAAACATCACATGTTGTAAGATAAGCAAACATAAATAAGAAATTCTGGCCTGTTTCTCTGAATCCGTCCTGTTTCTTCTTCCTCTCCGGCTCCGCTGATCGTCTTCTCGACGCTCCTTCAGCTTGAAGTTTTGACTCTCTGTCCTGGATAACGAGCCGGCTTCCCTCCTCCTATTTTTACATCACAACACATCCAGGGCTGCGTCTCTAAATTTAGAGCCGGGCCAGCGGGAACAGACAAGGATTAGATGAAAAACACATTAGTGAAATGAATCTTTATTCAACAGGTGCAACAAACCGGGCAGCTGCAGAAATACGACAAAGATGAGACTTTAAAGGCTGCAGGAGCAGAGACATAAAAATAGAAACAACAGTCATTTAAAGCTGCTCTGTTCTCGACAGGTTGGTGATAAATGATGGACAGATGCACAAATTTGATATAAAATAACCAATTTGGTGTTTATTTAACGTTATATTTTTAGTTACTGGAATAAAAAACACAAATTATGCAAAATGTCTAAAATGCAGCTTCAGCAAATTTTGGGTTTAAAACAAGAAAACAACTGAAACTGATAGTTTTTCTTTTCTCTTGTTTTTTTCTGTCTTTTAAAATTATGAATTTATCTTGTTTTTATATTTATTAATTTATTTTATTTATGTTTTTTGTCTGTGCTTCTATTTATTGATATAATTACTTTTGTTTTTTATTGATTTTATTTTAATTCATTTTTTGTAGTTTTCATTTATCTATACTTTTATTTTTTTATGTATTTTTATTTTAAATAATTTCTTTAGGTTTTTGTTGCATTTATTTAGTTTCTTTTCATTTTTAATACCTTGAAAGGTGTCACTTTAAATAATTATTAAGTTTATAATGTAAATATTAAGTAGAAATATTCAAATTAATGCAGAATTTTACAAATGAATTTCTTTTTATGCACGCTAGCATGAGCACAGTATAACAGCTAGCCGCAACAGGAAGTTAGAAAAGCAGCAGTTTCAAACTCCAGTGAACTTGGGATTATTTATCACGTCCATTTAAGCCAATAAGGAAAACAGGAGCAGATTTTACCGTTTTCATTGGTTAAACATTGAGTTTTATTTAATAAATGTTTGAAAACCTAAACTATGTCTCCTCATGTATGATCAGAACCTTTGTGTGTGTGTGTGTGTGTGTGTGTGTGTGTGTGTGTGTGTGTGTGTGTGTGTGTGTGTGTGTGTGAGCATGCGGTCTGAGCATGCTCAGTAGCTGTGTCTCCGTCACATAACGAGACGCTCAGATCATTTTGCTGCTGATGTCATGTGAACTGCCAGATCTATTTTTAGCTCAACTACATGGCATTTTTAGGTTTCCATACGTTTGCTGTCAAATGTATGGAGCTTTACCAGAACATGGATTTGTTTGGGTGTTTTTCCAGATCATGTTGGATTTACTTTATAAATTGTTAAAATAGTTTGTTTTAAATTGACCAAGTTCAACAGGATGTCACAAATCTTTACACATATAATCATTTTAATACAGTTGTTGCTCTACTTATTCCTGTTCTTTGTCCATCTTTTAATTTATTTTGTTTCCAGGTGAATATAAAATACATTTTAATTTTACTTCTGTTGCCACTAGATGTCACTGTTGTATAATTTGGTCTAGAAATTCACTCAGTTATTATTTGATACTTATAAATGACACCAGAGCCACAACACTTTGACAAATATATATCAGTGAAATAAAAAAAGGACTGGAGCTTCATCTAAAAAATATCTATATATTTATGCTGACAAGTACAGATTTAATCCTTACTTTCAAGGATTAAATGTATTTTTTAAATCCAGAATAAATTGAAGTTATTTGTGGCTTTTTTATTTTGCAACAAAACAAAAAGATTTGTTTATATTTATCAAGCTAATGAAGGGCACTAATGATTCATGTCTTACCAGATGTGTCCACTAGATGGAGTCAGTGAATCTTCTGTTTGGTTTGTCAGGTTGGAAACTCCTGCAGTGACAGGCTGAATAAAGACAAGATACTGTTTGTTTTACTCCTTTATTCAGGAGACTTCAGCATTTCATTCACCTTCATCATCAGACAGTCCTGTGTACATTTCTCTTTCTCAAACTGTTTTAATATTTTCACATTAAAACTACACCCATCTTTTCTTCATAAGATCATTATCCCTTTTCTTCTTCGCCTTTTTGTCATAAATAGCAATTTAAAACTATACTGTTCTGATTTATTTGCCTGAAACATGCCTTCCATCCACACTGTCCTGCGCTATCAAACACATTCCTAGTTTATGGCCCAAATGCAGATCCTTGGGTTCAACAAAGTGACTAATTTCTTGAAGCGATTGTTTTCGTTTCAGTACAGTGGAAGGAGGAACTTCCAGGATTCATCCCAACCAGATATTGGCTTGAAGCTCATCTGTTTTTTCAGGTTTTCAGGACGGACAAAGAATCTCCAAGACTCTCCCCATTCCTCCAGGAATTTCTTATAGACGCTGTCGTCAGGCGGGAGCTTCCTGTTAGAACCGCTGCCTTTCTTGGGACGAGGTTGGGTTTTACCCAGGAGGTGGCATCCTGCCCACTTCCTCTCAGATTGTTTCTCCTTCTCCATCCCAGATACCAGTTGCTTCTTCATTTTGATCTTTGTTGGTAAAATCACTCTTTGATCACTGAGTTCTTTGGATCTACCTTTGGTATTAAGCTGGTTGTTGGGTTTCTGCAGGAACCGGTAGGAATTTGCCCAAAGTGTGGCAGAAGCAAACACTTTGTTTAGGTCAGATTTATTTTATTTATGTTTTGCATCTTGTTTATGCTTGACCATAAAACCTGGTAGTAACCAGGGTTCTGGGAAGACTCAATCCAGGGCTGATCCAGTTGGGGCTTTGGGTTGGCAAGTCTGAAAGATCTTCCCCACTTACATCCACACTCACTCAGACTGGGATGTTGCTGCTGAGTTGAACTACTTTTGCTCGATTGATTGCTTAAAAGTGATTTGGTGCTCCATGAGGAGCTCCACTCTTTCTCAGGGTATCTTTGGCCAAATATCTTGTTGTCAAAGGAGCGATCATTTTAGCTTTCACCCCTTCTGAGGACAGAATGCTTTTTGGGCGTTGGATCTCAGTGGATTCATCCACCCACTTGTCTGTAGATACTAGTCCAGTCCAGTGTGGTGTGTGGTAGATAGACCACTTCCAGGATTCCCTCCACTGAACAAAAGACGGTTTGTCGTGTCTCATCTCTGTTTCTGTGACCATCCAGGCATCTTGCCAATCTGACATGGACTTGGTATGACTTTCCTGTTGTCTTGAGTTATCAGGAACATTCAACTTCCCTTTGGCGACTTGACCTTTGGCTTGTACAGGTTCTGATCGATGCTGGTACCTTGAGAACTTCCAGGATTCTCCCCAAACCCGTTCACTTGTTGGACCATTTTTAGGAAATTTCTCCACTGAAATCTCACTCTGGTGCCTCTCCCAGTTCACCCGGACTTGAGTTGAGGTGGACCAACCCTGTTGCCACAGCTCAGGGTTCTGATTCAGAGGCCGGCACATAAACTTCCAGGAGTCTTTCCACTCTGAGGCTTTGGGCTTTGAATCTTCCCCTTTCTCAGACTCTCTGAAAGGCTTCACAGGATCCGGCTTGTACCTTCTCTTTTCCTGTCTCATTCTGTGTTTTATTATCTTCCAGGAATCCCTCCATTCAGAAGGTGGAAGTATTTTCTGCAGGTGCTTCAGAAGCAATATCTTTGACTCAGGGAGTTCCCTCCTTGTGTGATGTATCACATCACGTCTTAGTTGCTCGTACCTTGGATCTACTTTCTCTGTTGAGTAATTGACCTGAGGGATCTTTTCCACCTTTTGAGTCTCAACATCTATCTTCGGCGGTGAGGCTTTGAGAACTTTATCTATCTCAGCACAAGGTTTTGAGTTGTTCTTTGGTATCTCCCATGACTTGCTCCAGTCGCCCATCGCCTCAAATTTATTGCAGAACTGAAGGTCTCTCTTACGAGTTGCAGAGGTGATTTTGTAAAAACCGTCTCTCTCCAGGCTGTGATCGTCAAAGCCGTGATGCTGGTTCTGAGAGGAACTCTGTTTGTTGAAGACGCCGGCTGCTGTTCTCCATGAACTGGCCCATTCTGGACTGAGCGGTTTCTGATGGCGAGGAAGCTTGAAGCTGTTGCTGCCATGATGGTTGAGAAGCCGCCAACATTCCTCCCATTCTGGGTTTATTTCTCTTCCCACATCTTTGTTGTCATCAACCGTTGCTTGCAGTAAACCTTCGCTGCCTGGCTTGGTGGACGTCCAGGAATCACTCCACTCTGATGAACACAAGATTCATTCTGGTGCTGGGTTTCCACCAGTGAAGTGAAGAATCCATGTTTATAGGCTTTCTCTTCATCTTCAGCGGAATCTTTCTTGATTTTCTCAAATCTTTTCCAGGATGTTTGCCATTCGTCAGCAGGCAGATTCAGGTCTAGCTCCTGTGGTTCCACCATCTTGTAAAAGGCTTTTCTCCAGAGATGATAGCTTTGTGGATCCACCAGCTTGGGCTCGTTTGGCCAAGGCTTACCTTCTTCAGCTCGAGGTTGATAGGGAGCAAACATCCAGGACTGCCCCCAGTCTGGACTTGCGCCCTCTGCTGGTGACGGTAAGGACTTGTTGAACTTCCAAGCCTTGCCCCACACCAGAGATGATGGCTGAGTTTTGGTGATTGACATGAGAAGCTGAAGTTTGTTGAAACTCTTGTCTTGCACCTTTTTGTCCTTGAGATTTGGGGCTTGAGCAGAAAAGCTTCTTGCCGGGACTGCTGGTCTGCCAACGGGACCCAAACCTCTGCCAAGAGGAACTCCCTGAGGAACCAGCGGTTGCTTGCTCTTCCAGATGTTGTCGTCTGGTTGGATATCGGAAGGTGCAACTTTCCTCTCCACTCTTTTGTATTTGCCCATCTTGGCAGTCATACGATCTGCCCAGTCCTTGTTGATGCTGTGCAAACAAAAAAAAGAACAAAAGGAAAAAAAGTTAATGAACACAGCTCGCCATTATTTATTTATTTTGTCTTGACATATAAAAACCTGCAGTTCAAACTTTTTGATCCTAACATAAATTTAAAAGTGCTTTAGTTCTTGATTAGAGGATTTCTTCAGAAATGTTTCACACTTCATTGAGCATTTTGGACACGTCTAAGACATTTTGACTGTTTATTGGTCATTTTAAAAATAATTGCAACCATGTGTTCCAGAAAATCTGTGCGGTGTGGAGATAATTCTGGATTTTTTGTTCTGGAGTAAATTTGGTTGCTCTGTTTCTATCCAGGCCTGTGATGATGAAAACCTTGAGGTGAAGTTACTGAGGGGGAAAGTGATGCTGCCATCTGGCAGCTCTTAAATAACACAACAATGTTTTTATTTATAGAAAACCTGTTATGTCCTGCTGCTAGGAGATCAAACTACATCGGCTGCACTTAAAAAATAAAATCACAATTAGTGTACATTATTTACCCTGAAGGTTTTAGTTCAACAAACAAATGATTGGTGTTTTTCTTTGTTGTTGTTTTTGAATATTTCAGATTTGCTACTGAGGAAAAAATGAAAACTGAAAATAAAGTTGGATGTTTTTTCCTGTTTTGTCATAAATTGTTGAATAATTAATGAGTAACTTTATTTGTTGTTTCATTGGAATCTTCTGAGATTCAAAACAAAATTGAATCTCAAAATTTTCAACTGTTTTCCCCCCCAAAATTTCTGAGATTAATCTAACAATTTGTTTTTTTCTTGCAGATTTTAAACTTCTGGAGCTCAGAAATGTTCTGGGAAAAGCACCGTTCCTGCTTTCTCTCTGCTCTGAGTCAAACCAACCAAACTGTTAGAGCAACCTGTTCCCCTCCTGGCCTGTGGGGGCGCTGCACCAAGATCCACTGAAGGAAACGACATGAAAACCTCTGAAGACACTGAGCAACTTTCTTCTTCACAAAACAGAAACAAATGGAGGCGTCAGATTTTAGAGGGGTTAGGATTTCTCTTTTTGTCTTTGGCTAAAAACCAGGAGTCATTTCTGCTGCTGGCGCTAGATCAGCTCGTTTGTTACGGTTGTATTTACCCAGAATGCTCTGCCCTGTTGTCCACTTCCTGCTTTTGGAGCGATCTCTGGTCTGCTTGGTGTTCACACATGCATTCAAACTGAACCAGAGTTCACTTCAACCCTAACCAGACCGATGCTTGGGTTTGATTTTTTGGTTCTAATAAGGAAATGTTTGACTGAAAGCATGAAACACACATTCCCTGCAGAGTGGATCATAAATCACTGTCACTCTCCCTGAGTATTCATTTCAGCTCCCGCTAAATCTGTTGGGCTCTTCAAGCGGCTCTGGAAGTCGAGACATGGCATGCGGTCTTGGACCGGTACCTTTTGTGGAGATTTGTTGGCAAAGCTAACTGGTGACCTTTGCTGCTCTGGTGGGTCAAGTTTCCTGCTCTGGACGTCGTCGTTTCTCCATCATCATGATGTTTCTGAGAAGTTAATTCTTACAGAATAATTTAATAAATTCCTCTTTAAAGCACAAGGATGTTCACACGTAATAAAACATTAAATCTGTGGTTACAGCTGTGACTGTGTGACTGATCTCTGACTTAGACTGGATGAAGAGTAGCTGGCATTAAAATGAACCTGAGTTCACTGAGACCGAGATATTAATAAATATATGACAACCCAACTAGTAAAGCAAGAAATACAAAATAATTAAAACATTTCATACAAATGCAGCAACTAAAGCAGAAACATGGTTGAAGGAAAGTGACTTGTTTCTGTTTTTGCTCTATTTATGTTGAGTTTAAAACAACATTTTTGCTCTGAAAACCTTTTCAAACCATTTTTGATTTCTGGTATTTTCCTTCCAGACACACAGATCTTCCTGTAACTCTGAGCTTTTCTGACCATAACAGTTCATTTCTGTTTGCCTTCCAGTTCAGTGACCCAAATGCAAGACGAACTGCGAAACGTAAATAAATCCCATTGTTTTTCTGCATCATTTGTTTTTTGTTTATCCAAATTTGCATAATTAATAATTATTTTTCAACGTCTTTCATCTTTTTCTATGAATTCAGACCTGATGGCTTTTCAGAACCTTTCATTTAAAGCTTTGTTGGAATTTTTCCTGCATCTCAGACTTTAGTCTTTAAGATGTGTTTTCAGATTTTGTTTTTTGTAGATTTTAATTAGAAAATGAGGTCAAATGAGGTCAGTTTCTCTTTCAAACAAAAAACCCAAAATTGATAAAATCTTCACCAAACAAGTAACTAACTAAATAATATCTTTATGTAGGTTAAAAAAATTATTAGTTTCTTTTCATTTTTATGAATGTTAAGTAATTATTAACCTAAAAGTGTCTTATATTTTGCATTAAAGTCATTTCAGTTTCACTAAGATATTAATAATTGAAACATTTTGTGTTTTTTCAGTGCTCTGAAAGTTCGGAGCCCTTTGGGAATCTGTTGAGTTTCAGGAATCTCTTCAAAATAACTTTTTTAGCTTTAAGAATTTGTGCATCGGATTTAAGGAACAGAGTGAAACTGGGTTTAAGAGAGCAACTAAAGTAGAAAGAAAACCTTCAAACTTTAGAATCTTCAAAACTTCGATTTCCTGACTGTTTTTGTGAAATTGTTTCAGGGGAAAAATCAAACATCAGAGTGAATTCAAACTGCAAAACTTTATCTGGAGATGGAAACTGGGTTTTGAAAATCTGAAGACCAAACCCAGTCAGGAATCTGTTCATAACCTCTAAATTAGCATCAATTTAAGATTTACTCTGAAAACAAACTTCATGCCAGGAGAAAGTGAGCTGCAGTTTCTGCAGGATGAAACTTCAGCCTCTGGTTTTGATTTGGGATCTAAAATGTCAAACAGTTTGGATGTTTGGACGTCTCTCGGGTGACTGCAGGACTTTCTGTCCCGTTTGTTCAGATTAAAACAGATTCGTCCCGGTTGGGTTCGGTTTCATCTCAACGGCTGCAGTTTGTCTAAAACTGACAGTAGAAGTTTGATGAATGTTTGGTTTTCTCACGCGGGCAGCGCGCTCCTCTCCAGCCGCTCCTGCTCCAGGAGCATCCTCTGTCCGAACTCCCTCATCCGGATCTCCCAGACGTTCCTCATGATGGAGGCGTCGCATCCCACCACCTCCGGGTTCTTCTCGCTCGACATCTTCAGCCTGGTTCCTGCAGGAAGCAAAGCCACAGAGCCGTTAGCGTCTCCATCGCTCAGCCTGCATTGGATTATAGTGAAATCTGAATGAGACCTCCTGCAGAGACGCAGCTTCACCGGCGATAATCTGAGTGGAGACGCTGCTGACAGCTCTGCTGATTTGTACCGACGCTCTGGGAGCCAATAACCACCTGATGGATGTGAGGGGCTGCACCAGCTAAAAATAACACCCTGCCCCGACTACAGCATTCGCTTTTTACACTCAGCCTCCATCAGCACTTTTTCAACAGGGTTGATGTTCTCCAGCTTCCTCCTCCCATAAATCTGTGTTTGCAGTTTAAATATTCATTTCTGTCAACGTTTTGACCAAAAACTGCAGCTAAAAACTAGAGAAATCTTCCTGTATTGGATGCAAAATGGTCAAAAACAACTAAAGTTCAACTAAATCTGCTAAGAATGACGGTGAATTGTAGATAGAAAAATAGAGAAAAAACTGAAATTTTCTAGAAAAAATTTGGAAACTTCTGAGTTTTAAAAGTCAAACGTTTGCTATAAACTTTCTAAAAATAACTTATTTTGTAAAGTGTAAAAATTTAAACCTTTTAAAAATGTCCATGTTTTTTCTGCAACATTTTTCAGGTTACTCTCATTTAGACCTCAAAGTTGTTTTCTGTCTACAATGTAACTAAAATGCCTGGAATCATTCATGACACATTTTGTGGAATCTGGATTTTTATCACAAATTTTCAACCTTTGAAGCTCAGAAATTTCTTGGAAAAAATGTGAGATTAAGTTTTTTTTTTCTAGAATTTTATTGGCCAGCAGGTGGCATATTTGTATGCAACGTCATCACTTGGGCCAGGAATCAAAGATCTTCTATTGAAGGCAGATGTGTGATTAATACACCTGAACTGCAGCGGATGTATCGGTGAGTTCTGGTTGACCAGAGTCTAAAACTTGTCTAGATTAAACAAGAGCGATGCTAGTAAGCGGAAAAGATTGTAATAAATTTGTATCAACTAAAATATAAATGAAACGCATAGGTACAGATTAAATAAGCCAAAGAAAAAGTTTTCTGTCTTTACATTTTCTCCATTATAAAATATAAAGTTTTATTTTTCATTAAAACATTTTATAAAGTCATCCAGGTGTTACATTTATTACAGGATGTTGTTTCTTTACAGTTCGTCTTGGTGTTATTTTACCACAAACATCTTAATAAATGGAAAATAAATCACTTATGAAAATATTTTCCCTTTTTAATCAAAGCCATAAAATGTTAAACTCCAACATTTTGCAAGAGAAACGCGAGAAACAGGTCATAAACATCTGAAAATGATAAGAAAACGTCATTAACAGCTCCACCCTGAACGTTTATTTTGATCGGAGTCAGCATTCTTTCCGGCGCTCTAGTGACGTCAGCAGAATGCGCCGGCGCTGGGAGCTCCGTGTCTGAGCAGCAGCAGCAGCGGGAGACATGGCGCTGTTCCCGGAGCGGAGCCGCGGCACCGTGAGCGGCCTGTGGCGGCTCGCGGTGCTCCTGCTCGCCGTGTCGTCGCTGCCCGCCGCCACGGCGCTGCTGGAGGGGCTCTACTGCGGGACGGAGGTCTGCTACGACGTGCTGGGAGTCTCCCGGGAGGCCTCCAAGGCGGAGATCGCGAGGGCTTACCGGCAGCTGGCCCGCCGGTACCACCCGGACCGTACCGGCCCGAGGAGCCCGGAGAGGAGGAGAACGCTCACTCCAAGTTCCTGCTGATCGCGACGGCTTATGAGACACTGAAGGCGAGTCATGGCGCTGTTTACTCTCATTCAAAAACTTTATGGAAATGTAGCTGCGATGAGGAAGGATCTCCTGTAGCAGTCCGTGTTGCAGCGAATCACAAGAAGCCTCTGACTGAAGACACTCAGGATTGTCCTGAATGTTCTGGGTTTTCGAAGAGCTTTTCTTTGCTCCATCATCTCCAGAGGCTCTTATCTACTGTGGAGTGTTGAGGGCCAAACTAAGAAAAATAAAATGATACTTAAAAGAATGAAGTCATACAAAAATAGTCAAAATAATATACAAATAAAGTCATAATTAGAGAATAAAGTCTTAGGATTTTGAGAAAGTTGTACAAGACTGAATTTGAAATAAAGTTTCAAATTATTTCAACTTTATTTTCATACAAATTCTTGTAATACAAAGACTTTATTCTTGTAATATTATGACTTTATTGTCATTATTTTTATATTGTGTATACGAAGACTTAAGGTCTGGACTTTGACTAGACCATCCGGATCCTGCAGATCTGCTGCTGCGTTTGGATTTATGGTTAAAATTTCCAGATTTTCTCTCTTTTTTCAAAAATGAATTTTTCTGATTTACAGAAAAGTTCATTTCTGACTCAGATATTAGCCACATCATCACCGTCCTCCGCCGTGCTTTACAGTTGGTACAAATATCTCTTAAACCGCCATCTTGGTTTCAGAGGAGCGTTTTCCTGTTCTAACCTTCCCAGCCAGTCTCTGGTATCAAATCATTTTGATCCTGATTGGTTTGTTCCGTCTGCAGGATGAAGACTCGCGGCGCGACTACGACTACATGCTGGACCACCCTGAGGAATACTACCAGCACTACTACGCCTACTACCGCCGCCGCCTCGCCCCCAAAGTCGACGTCCGGATCGTCATCCTCGTCACCATCTGCGCCATCTCTGCCGTCCAGGTAGGAGCACCGCTGCCCCCTTCTGGCTGGAGCTTATAACTAAATAAAATCACCTTAAACAAGAGTCTAGATGTAGATCCACATAGATCCGTGGGTCTGAAGTGTTCTGGTTCTGGATGTGAAACGTTTCCTCCAGCTTCTTCCTGGCCCAGTATAACCAGTATAACCAGTGTCTGCTCTCCAGTACGTCAGCTGGTGCAGCAGCTACAACAAGGCCATCAACTACCTGGTGACCGTCCCAAAGTACCGGATCCAGGCCACCGAGATCGCCAAGCAGCAGGGCCTGCTCAGCCGCACCAAGGAGAAGGGCAAGAACCGGCGCTCCAAGGATGAGATCCGCGAGCAGGAAGAGGAAGTGATCCGTGACATCATCAAGAACAAGATCGACATCAAGGGCGGCTACCAGAAGCCGAACCTGTCGGACATCCTGCTGTGCCAGATGGCGCTGTTCCCCTTCTACCTGAGCCGCTACGTGGCGTGGTACGCCCGCTGGGTGTACCGCTTCACCGTCTGCCGGGAGGACTACGGCGAGGAGGAGAAGCTCTACCTCATCAGGTCAGTGGCGGCCGGCGCCGCCCCGCGCCGCTCGGGTTCCGGCTGAGGTTTTGACGGCCCGGTTCTGCTCTCATCAGGAGGAACATGAAGCTGTCGCAGGCCCAGTTCGACAGTCTGGAGGAAAACGCCAAGCAGACGTTCCTGGAGAAGCAGCTGTGGGTCAGAGAAAACTACGAGGTACGAGGCCCCTTTAAGAACTCTGGGCCAATCAGAGGCCACTTCCTGTTTCTGAAGGTTTAAAAAGAATAAAACTGACACTTTGACTCCCAAACTGTTATAACTTCTGATTCAAAGCCAGATTTATATTTATATTTTTAAAACAATAAAATTATGAGAATAATGTTATAATAATAGAAAAAGGTTTTGTTATGGTAATAAATAATAAAGATGTAAAATCACTAGAATAAATTACTAATGATAGAAGAAAAGTAATATGAGAATAACTATTATAATACAAATAAAGTTTTTCTGTACGTTTTAATTCTTATATTATTGTTGAACGACATTTTGTCGTAACTTTACGACTTTATTTACGTAGTTTTTGTTTCCTTCGCCGGGTTGTGAGTTTTATATTTCACTGATCAGAGCCTGGTTCTGAAGCTCCTTCCTGTTATCCAGCCTCTGATTCTCTCCGTTTCCTCCAGGCGTACAGGAAGGAGCGCGAGGAGGAGATGAAGGCCAAGCTGGCGACCGACCCCAAGATGAAGCGGTACCGCCGCTGGATGAAGAACGAAGGCCCGGGTCGGCTGACCTTCGCAGACGACTGACGGCGGCGCCGCCCGTCCAGAACCAACACGCCTGCCTCAGCGCCTGCCTCAGCACCGGCTCAACGCCCGACCGGCCCGGCCCGGTGCCGGCGCCGGCGGACTCCAGCCCGGCTGTTTGCAGCCGTTGCTACAGATATTTTCTACAGACGCGCCTCAGAGTGACTGAATAAACTGCGAGCTGCAGCTTGATGTATTTCTCATTCTAACATTTTTACCCATTAAAAGAAACAGATCAAGTTTATATTTAAGGTTAAAAAATCTTTGTGATAATTATTTCCTCCACATTCAGCCTTTGCAGCCTGAAATATAAAAATAAGTGTCCTTTAAAAAGGCAGCAACAAATAAACTCCTGCTGCTGATGAAGCTGTTAAAGAGATGAATGTTTTCTTGCCTGCAGCGTCCCGACGGTTCGGTGCTGCAGCGTCCGACGGTTCGGTGCTGCAGCGTCCCGACGGTTCGGTGCTGCAGCGTCCGACGGTTCGGTGCTGCAGCGTCCCGACGGTTCGATGCTGCAGCATCCCGACGGTTCGGTGCTGCAGCGTCCGACGGTTCGGTGCTGCAGCGTCCCGACGGTTCGATGCTGCAGCGTCCGACGGTTCGGTGCTGCAGCGTCCCGACGGTCGGTGCTTCAGAAAAAAAGCTAGACTTCTGGAACCCAGAAATGTTCAGTTTTTTTTTATTGAAATTTTCCTCTTTTTTCTGTCTACGAAACGCTGCCATAGATTTGCTGAAACTTGCACACAGAAAGAGGTTTTGGGTCCCTGTAGGAATGTGTTCCAGTTTCATAACTGAATAAACTTTAATAAAAGCTAAATTTATGATTCTGATTAAAACGTTGAACTAATTTTCTCTTCGGTCTGAGAAACAACAGAAATGATGCGATAAGATCAGATAAAGTGTGAAACTGAAGAGAAGATGATTTTCAGACTCATCCTGGTTCCTCTTTGGCTTCTGCGTCAAATGATCAAACCCTTTGTGTAAAATTATAATCATGTGTATTATGAATTTCATAGGGAGATGAAAAACTGAAATTATTACGACAAACTCGTTTTCACTGTTTTTGCATCTCATTATAACGATGGATGAATAAAAGCAGTTAGAGACGTCAGAGAGTCACTGACTCATGGTGTAAAAGGAACCTGAAAACACGAAGCAGAAACTTTAGCACTGGTTGCATCACAGCTGTCACGTCATGATGATTCTGCTCATAATCTTTCGACCCCAAACTGGTTTCTCACGACCCCCTGGTGGACCCCACCCCACTTTGGGAACCCCAGATTTAAAACAATCCAATTTAAGTAACTCTGGCAGCTATGACAGTATATTAGAGCAAAGTAGATAGAAAAAATAAAGCAGCAGCAACTCAGACATTTCCAAGAAAAACCTTGGAGAAATTTTCTATTTCAAAAGTTGAACATTTTTGAGTATTTTTCTACAGAATTGTTAAATTAATTTCTGCATTTTTGAATATTTTTGACTTTTTTTTCCTGCATACAGTGGTTTAACATGCAGCATACTGCCCCCTAGTGTTGAACATTTGTAAGCATTTCAGTTCGATACCTGAAAAGAGCGGCTCAGAAGACATTTACCTTTAAACAGCTGATGAGTGCCATATATTTAAATAAATTAGTTGGTTGATTGTCTTAAATTGGATCATCTTTGTAGTCATGCAGCTGCAGTTCCTCTGGCGGCCACTAGGGGCCGCTGCAGACTGAACTTCTTAAAGTTGATCATCCAGCACAAAAACAAACAGGTTCTTATGTGAAAACTTCCTTGTTGATGAGCTGCTGGTTTATTTCTGTTCCTCTTTAAGCTTCACTGTAAACGGAAGAAGGAAATAAATCTGAGTCTGAAGGAATGTGGGACAATGAAAGACAAAACCCTGATTTTATCTGCATGAATCAGGAAATAGAAAAAGAAAAACACCAAAAGTTTCCCACATTCACAGTCAAAACAATAATTAAAAGTCACAAATCCTGGAGACTGGCTCTTAAAACAGTTTGATCTTTTCTTACTGTGAACTCCTGCTTTTCTTATTTTGTTTTTAAAGGTCTGTTGAAGAAATTAACCAAATTTTAATGCAAAAGACACATATGGAAATAAACATAACTGAGGTAAAATGTGGGTTTAAAGATGAGTTTATTGAGATTCACACACATATGTAAATTTGTCATTTTCAAAGCAAAGTCCTTTTTATTTTATTTATTTCATATTTAGTCTAATTTAAATCACATTACTCTTATCTATATATTTTTTAATTAATTTCATATTGATTATGATTACATTTGTGTTTACTAATATTTTACACGTTGGAATAGCTTGTCAGCAAATGATCAATTTCATCTTTGGGATTGATAAAGTATAATCAATCTTTATTTTTATTCATATCCTTTATTTGAGTAAGTGGAAACCTATAAATATAAACATTTACTAAATACATGTGTGTAATATTAATTACATTTTTGCTGCTCAGCTCTTAATTTAAACAGTTTTGCATCATGTTTTTTTATATGTTCCTCCAAAATAAAAGTCACTCAAAACTATTTTATTTATTTTAGTTACAAAATCAAACTGCCGAGTTTTAACTCTGATCTTTCTGCCATCAGGCATCAAAGGTTCTGTAATGTGGGCGTGTCTCTCGTGACGTGGGCGTGGTTAAAGGAAGGAGATAAACGTGTATGTGACGCAACACGGATGACCGATGACATCAAGCTAGCCGTTTTAACCAGACGTTAAGGAGGAAAACACATTTCACATTAAAAGCACGACGCTCTTGAAACGATTTCCTCGCTCAACTTTTATCCTGGGAAATTCAGGCATGACAGCAAGTGACAGGCAAGATGGAGCACAAAAATAAAACACAGCTTGTTTTTTACTTTTACACACGTAACCATGGTAACAAGGAGTTGTTTCCACAACTTTAAAGCTCATTAGCTTCTCATAAAGGCTCAAATAATATCTAAGCTACGACAGATTTAATAAGGGGTAGCAGCAGCTAATAAGTTGGATTAGCTGACTTGATAACAACTGATGATGTCATCCAGAATATGTTGCAATATAGTATTATTTCTGCTACCTGGATATTTGGCTGTTAGCATGTAATGACTTCAAAAATAGTTATATGATCCAATAGGGAAATTAAATAAACGTGACTGTCATGCAACAACAGCCTTCAGTCAGAAGCCTCTTCAGATTGGATGCAGGACTGACTGCAACCAAAGTAAAAATATCTATAGTGGAACATATAAAATAGCCACATGGTCTAATAACATCAAAATATATATCTTAAAGTAGCATATTTATACTGCAGTGACATGTATTTCTAAAATATATATTGAATTAGAGGCTAAAAACATAAAATGTAATCAATATATATATAAAATAATATAGTCCTTTACAAGCGTGGTGCTGCACCGCGACCTTATTTTGTGGGTCTGTCACCGGAAGTGAGTTGTTACCAAATGAAACTTGGCGGAAGTCCGCGCCTTCCGCCGGTTGAAGCTGAAGGAATCTGGCTATTCAACTGTCCTGTGGGTGGTTGACACGAGTGGGCTCCACGGCAGGGACAGCGGTCATCTGGAGCGTGTTTGAGCCGGGATTCGGATCCTGCGGCGGGATGGCAGCGCTGGGCAGCGCCGGCCGCTTGTTTCACTGTAAGTATCTGAATGTTCAGAAATGTATCCAAACTAAAACTGCGCTCTGGTGCCTTAAAATTACTTTTAACTCTAATGTCTTTAAACAAAGTGCATTATTATTCCTTTTCTGTTGTTTTAAAGTGTTTTATTTTATTTTATTTGCTTGTCGGGGCTTCTTTTGGACCCTGACATTGACGCTACATGTGAAAGCGTCAAGCTACCAAAAGGAAGATGCAACTTCCGGTCGGGAGGTTTTCAAAAACACTAAACCGTGACTTCTAAGCGCTTTTACACGTTTTATTACGGTACGAGAACTTATTATAATAACCAGAATCTCGCTATTTAATATTTAAAACATGTAAAACATGTTTGCTCTTGTCATCAACCATTCTGTGTATTTTAAATGATGTTAGAAATATCTCAAGATGCTCTTGCTTCTGGTTTCCGGTGCTGATTTTCTCTATCTTGACAAAATTTCCAGCCTTAATTGTGTGTTTCAGTTTAACGTCTCCGTTACATAATGATCTTATCCCCCATTTAGCCTCAGTAAGCCGCTCCGTGAACGCATCATGGTTCTGTTCGGGCGCCTTTAAGGCGGGAAGCGAAGCGACAAGCCAGCACGTTACACGTCGTTACAAAACTGCAGACTTTCACACTTGCGTAACCTTACACGCTCTCCCCCTGGCGGCCAAGCCGCAGTACTGCAGCCCATGAAAGTTGCAGCTGTTTTGAAAGTTTAAATGTTGTTTTAAAACTATGTTTGCTTTTCTTATTACTTATTATCTTCTGTATGGGATTACAGAAATAATGGCACGAGAAAAAGATGTTACCTCGAGATAAAATTACTTATTTTCTTGGTGCTCAAAAGCAAAAGTACCTGACTCTGATTCCTTAGAGCTCCCTCCAATTGTTTCTAAAGTCTGAGGTTAGATAACAGACATTATCTTTCCACCTGTCTTCCTCCAGAATGCATCTGGCCCCCAGCACTACAAAGCAGGACAGTATCTGTCCCGATCACGAAAAGAAACCGTACAAAAAACAGAAACACAGCGTTCTGAAGTCAGACATCAGATCCATCCTTGCATAAAGGATCCAGAATCTCAGGAACTCACTCAAAGTGGCTCCTTTAAATATTCAATTAACACCAAAATTAATGACTTAATCTCTCAGCAGAATATTGATGTTATGTTCCTGACAGAAACATGGATGATGACGATACAGAAACAGCTGTACTAATCCAACCAGAGCCGCAATATTAAATGTTTTTAAGTGGCAACGGAAAACATAAAAATACGAGAGGATTGGCTTCTGTACTTAAGAATGTCATAAATTGTAACAAAATCTTTTTGGGTCGTTCTGGGTGTTGAGTTGAACGAACTCTTGACACTAAGTTTATATCAAACTCCAACAAAACGTCTTTGCTGATTTTAATGAACTTGTATCTTCATATGCATTGATTATGATTGTTTAATAATTGTCAGTGATTTTAACATTCATATTGGCAAAGACAGAAGGCCAAAGAAACAATGTGATTGGTTAATATGTTGGTCTAATTCAACATATCAACCAATCAAGGACAAAAACTGGACCTGGTTATTCAGTCAGGGTGTGAATATTTCTAATGTTTCTGTAACTGTCAGATCATTTCCTGATGTCTTTGAAAGCACCATCAACATCGACTCACTTGACCAAAAAGCTACGATCACAAAATGTTCTCACAGCCAAGAGTGCAGAAACAGTTCACCTAATCTCCTCTTCCTCCCCATCCTGGAATGATGTAGATAAGTTTCAGATATCATTGATTACATCGCCCCATCAAAGTGAAGGTTGTGTCTGGTAGGAAGAAATCTCCATGGAGAAACGCACAAACAGTTGGATCTGCAAGACAACGCTGCTGTAGAGCTGAACGAAAACGCCGTAAAACTCAACCTCACGTTTATTATGACATCTATAAACCAAGACAACGTAACTATCACCCAACACTAAAGCAAGGGAGGCTTTCTATGCAGACGCCATAAACAAAAATATTAAAGGTGGAGATTTATTTGCAACAGTTGACACAAAACTTCCAGTGATGAAACCGCCTGAATTTCAATCTGATGCTGCCTGTAACTAATTAACCAACTTTTATCAGGATAAATTCAAATAATCTGACGTTTAATCTGCGCATCAACACAACATCCAGTACCAGCACCAAACAGAACCAGAACATAACATGAAGAAAACATGACCTACTTTCAACTAATTAACATTAATATCTATCTATCTATCTATCTATCTATCTATCTATCTATCTATCTATCTATCTATCTATCTATCTATCTATCTATCTATCTATCTATCTATCTATCTATCTATCTATCTATCTATCTATCTATCTATATCTATCTATCTATCTATCTATCTATCTATATCTCTATCTATCTATCTATCTATATATATATATACAGTAAACTGATTAAACTGAGCTTTATTTATAGATCAATTAAGATCTTTAAATTATAGCTCTTATTCTATAATCTAATTAAGATCTAATTATAGATCGTAATTAGATTAATTATACATAATCAGTACGTATATACATACAGTATGTATGTATGTATGTATGTATGTGTGTATGTATGTATATTCAGTAAACTGAACTTAGTTGATCTATAATTGATAGATCAATAAAGATCTATACATTATATATATATATATATATATATATATATATATATATATATATATATATATATATATATATATATATATATATATATATATGTACTAATTATAGAATAAGATCTAGAATCTAGAGATCTTTATATATATATACACACATATATATACATATATATTATATATATATGTATGTACTAATTATAGAATAAGATCTAAAATCTAGAGATATTTATATATGTATATACACACATATATATACATATATATTTATATATATATGTATGTACCAATTATGGAATAAGATCTAGAATCTAGAGATCTTTATATATATATATATACACACATATATATATACATATATATTTATATATATATATATGTATATATGTACTAATTATAGAATAAGATCTAGAATCTAGAGATATTTATATATATCTATACACACATATATACATATATATTTATATATATATATATGTATGTATGTACTAATTATAGAATAAGATCTAGAATCTAGAGATATTTATATATATATATATATATATATATATATATACACACATATATACATATATATTTATATATATATGTATGTACTAATTATAGTATAAGATCTAAAATCTAGAGATATTTATATATGTATATACACACATATATATACATATATATTTATATATATATGTATGTACCAATTATGGAATAAGATCTAGAATCTAGAGATCTTTATATATATATATATACACACATATATATACATATATATTTATATATATATATGTATGTACCAATTATGGAATAAGATCTAGAATCTAGAGATCTTTATATATATATATATACACACATATATATATACATATATATTATATATATATATGTATGTACCAATTATGGAATAAGATCTAGAATCTAGAGATCTTTATATATATATATATACACACATATATATATACATATATATTTATATATATGTATGTACTAATTATAGTATAAGATCTAAAATCTAGAGATATTTATATATGTATATACACACATATATATACATATATATTTATATATATATATGTATGTACCAATTATGGAATAAGATCTAGAATCTAGAGATCTTTATATATATATATATACACACATATATATACATATATATTTATATATATATATATGTATATATGTACTAATTATAGAATAAGATCTAGAATCTAGAGATATTTATATATATCTATACACACATATATATACATATATTTATATATATATATGTATGTATGTACTAATTATAGAATAAGATCTAGAATCTAGAGATATTTATATATATCTATACACACATATATACATATATATTTATATATATATATATGTATGTATGTACTAATTATAGAATAAGATCTAGAATCTAGAGATATTTTATATATATATATACACACATATATATACATATATATTATATATATATATGTATGTATGTACTAATTATAGAATAAGATCTAGAATCTAGAGATATTTATATATATATATATACACACATATATATACATATATATTATATATATATATATGTATGTATGTACTAATTATAGAATAAGATCTAGAATCTAGAGATATTTATATATGTATGTACCAATTATGGAATAAGATCTAGAATTTAGAGATCTTTATTGATATATAATATATATATATATATATATATATATATATATATATATATATATATATACATACACTATATGTATATATATATGTATATATATATATATATATATATATTATATACATATATATATATATATACATATACATATACACGTCTATATATGTATATATATAAATTCTAATAAAATATAAAATTTATACATAAAACATAAAATTCCAGTATGTTTACGACACACCTAAATAGTATGTTTATCCATATTTTATGAGTAAAATAAACCTGTAAAAGCTAAATTTAATTCTGAGGTGTTTTGATGAGGCCAACATTTAAATGCAAGAGCTCGATCTTCTTGTTCATCATATTTTATCGAGTCCAAGCTCTTCAGGTGTGGAAATGCCAAGTTTATATATATATATATGTGTACATGTATAGATATATATACACATATATATATAAACAGACTGTTCCTAGTTTGTTCATTCATCTACCCCTCCAGGGCAGTTTTGTCTTTTCGGAAAGCTCTGTTAACAGGCGATAAAGTCTTTCCTTTTCTTTTGTGGGTGACCTACATCTCCTGGGGCCTTTTTTCTTTTGGGGACTGTTCACAAACTGTTCCCCAAGTCTTTTCTTATCCTCGGAGTGAACTGCCCCGTCCGGGGTAGTTCTGTTTTTGCTGACAGTTTTACCTGCTGGGTCTCTACAGCCACTCCTTCTAGTCAATCCTCTGGATCGTGTTCGATCAGAAACTCTGTGGGATGCACCGTTGATCGATGCTGGAAAGGAACGTCGTGAAATCGTAGCCAAAGTTTTGCGGTTTGCCTCAGAAATGTCTTCCCCAGCCGGGTCAACAACTGGACATCCGTCCCAGAAGAGATCTCTCTCTTCATCCTGGGTCGGCTCTCTGTGAGTGATAAAATCATCTGGGTCGTTTCCAGAAAAGTCCAATAGTTTCCTCATTCCCGTCGTCACCAGATAACCGAGTCCAAAACCGACGGGGAAAATCAGCGGATACGGCATCTTGAAAACACAAAATCTGGATCCCAAGGAAGCGTTTGGACTCTGACTGATGTGTTGAGGTTCTACCCTTCAAAGCCTCAGAACGTCTTTGATGTGCTGTGATGCACATGATGTCACCTATGACCTCATCACTGTAGTTCTGGTCTGGCTTCTGATCGCTGCTGTGGAAACGATCCGATCAGTCCTGCCTGAGTCAAACTGAAATAACGACTAGATATTTAATATTTTTTTCATTTTTTAACATGAAGACATCAGCAGTAGAGTTCTACCTTGGTTCTCCGGACCTGCTGCCTATAAATAGTTTTTATTCATTATTATTTTGGTTCTGGCAGGAAATTGTTCAGATTTTATAAACCTTTGCAAAACATTTTCTCTAATCTTTGTTAACTCTCTGTTATCGATCCAATTTATATATTTTATATGACCTTGTTCTGAAATTGTTAATATCATCAGTGATGTAATTTGTTGCATGACTAATATTGGGCTTGATTAAACTCAGATCCTAAAACAAATGAATAGAAAAGCATCACAGGAAGTGTTTTATGCTCTGTTTCAGTTGCAAGGAGCAACGTTGGGTTGACTTTAAGGAGACGATCCACGGCTGCAGCTTTAGCTCACAATGCAGCTCCAGAGACACAGGAGAGCAGGTATCTGACCCTCCACACCTCCAGCTTGAACAAGATTCCAGTTTGAACTTCCTCAGGATTCTAGATGCTCTGAATGCATCCAGAAATATTCTGGACGGTTAGGGTTAGGGTTAGGGTTAGGGTTCATATGCTGATCTGGCAGCAAACATACTTGTTTTATGACTGCTTCCTGTTTCCTGCAGTAAAATGTCTCCAACTCAATGTCAAAACAGAAAGAAAGAGATTGCATCACTTCCTGTTAGCTAATAAGACCTCAAGTTTGTTTCATTAGTTCTCTTAGGAACATAAAACTGTACCAGAGTTTCACCAGGTTATTGGATGAATTGAAGGATTTATTGATGGTCGGACAGATAGTTTGATTGTTGGTTGGTTGGATGGATGGATGGATGGATGGATGGATGGATGGATGGATGGATGGATGGATGGATGGATAAATGGATGGATGGATGGATGGATGGATGGATGGATGGATGGATAAATGGATGGATGGATGGATGGATGGATGGATGGATGGATAAATGGATGGATGGATGGATGGATGGATGGATGGATAAATGGATGGATGGATGGATGGATGGATGGATGGATGGATGGATGGATGGATGGATGGATGGATGGACGGATGGATGGATTGTTGGATGGATGGATTGTTGGATGGATGGATGGATGGATGGATGGATGGATGGATGGATGGATGGATGGATGGATGGATGGATGGATTGTTGGATGGACGGACGGATGGATGGATGGATGGATTGTTGGATGGAGGGATGGATTGTTGGATGGATTGTTGGATGGATGGATGGACGGATGGATGGATTGTTGGATGGATGGATGGATGGATGGATGGATTGTTGGATGGATGGATGGTTGGATGGATGGATGGATGAGTGGTTTTTGGTTGGATGCACAGTTGGATGAATTGTTCCATCCGTCTCTTCGTCCATCAGGAAGCCTAAAACAGGAATCCTGATGCTGAACATGGGCGGTCCAGAGAAACTGGAAGACGTCCACGACTTCCTGCTGCGGCTCTTCATGGACACCGACCTGATGAAGCTTCCTGTTCAGAAGTGAGCTTCAGCACTTAGCACGTCTCCCTTAGCATCTCCATCGCTTCGCTAGCGTTCTGACCCGCTCTCTGCCTGCAGCAAGCTCGGCCCGTTCATCGCCAAGCGGCGCACGCCGAAGATCCAGGAGCAGTACAGCAAGATCGGCGGCGGATCGCCCATCAAACACTGGACGTCCATGCAGGGCGAGGGCATGGTGAGGCTGCTGGACGACATGAGCCCCGACACAGGTTAGCATCTCTGGAAGCTGTTAGCATCTCTGGAAGCTGTTAGCAACTCTGGAAGCTGTTAGCAACTCTGGAAGCTGTTAGCAAATTTGGAATCAGTTAGAATTTTGTTAGCATTTCTGAAAGTAATTAGCATGTTTAGAAGAGGTTAGCTGTTAGCATCTCTGTAATCGGTTAGCATGGCATCAAGTGGATTGTTAGATCAGGTTAAGTTCCCAGGGGGACAGATTTGTGTGCGACACAGACAGAGGGTTCTGGTACTTCTACAATCAACAGTTTCAACCATTCATTTTGTCCAGTCGGATTAAGACAGACAAGGAGATAAAGAAGCTCCTGTGAAGCGGCTAGCGTCGCTGTTAGCGCTGTCCTCTGATAAGCAAACTGTGCGGGCAGATAGTGAAGGAGTGTCTGTTCACACCCTGAAGCTCTGCTATCTGAACCGCCACAATCAGCAGCTGCTCAGCAGTATCTCTGTTTTCAGACGTTTTTCCTCTCAGTTTTAGTTAAAGATGGAAGTTCAAAGTCAGAAATGAGCGTCTGCACAGAATTACAATAATCTGTTCAGAATAATGACACAGTTCACCTTAAAGAATGTGTTCAGAATGAAGAATCTGTTGAAAGTAACATTCTTTTTAGCTTTAATAATTTTTCAGGGTCAGGAATCTGTTCAAACTAACGACAGACGTTTTGTTGTTAGCTTTCGTTTTTCCTGCTGTGACTCGTGATTTCAAACCTTTTCTCAGCTCCTCACAAGTTCTACATCGGCTTCCGGTACGTGAACCCGCTGACGGAGGATGCCATCGAGGAGATGGAGCGGGACGGCGTGGAGCGAGCCGTGGCCTTCACCCAGTATCCCCAGTACAGCTGCTCCACCACAGGTTGGCGGCGCGTCGGTCGCTCTGGAAACGCGTCCGACTTCGGTTTGTTGCTCAAAGCGATAACGCCTCGTCTCCGCCAACAGGCAGCAGTCTGAACGCCATCTACCGTTACTATCGCAACAGAGGAGACAGGCCAAAGATGCGCTGGAGCGTCATCGACCGCTGGCCCACACACCCCCTGCTGGTGGAGGTTAGAAATGACAACTAATGGAAAATTCAAAATAAAAAAACATGAGAAAATGTTACTAAATGTGATGTTTTGTTTTTTTAGTGTTTTACCGAACACATCAGAAATGAGCTGCTGAAGTTTCCAGACGATAAGAGAGACGATGTTGTCATTTTGTTCTCGGCTCATTCGCTTCCAATGGCTGTAAGTCAAAGACATCTGGCATTTATTGATGATGGTTATTAATTAATCAATTTCATTTGAAGAAGTTCACAGTCGTTTCATGAAAGTCAAAACAGAGACACACAAGAGCTTGAAAACCTACAAAACACCAAGAAACCTTTAAGTTTCAGAAATGGTGCCAGTAATTTGTGCTAAGCTAACATGAACGTTTTGGAAAGTATGTTGGGATGTTCAAGAAAAAACCTCCAGTAAGTTTCTTGAAAGAATATTACTTAATAAGGAAATGTATTTAAAGTATCCTTTAAATGGCACTGAAGGACTTTGGATGTTCCAGTAGCAGCAAAGTCTAAGTCACCAGACTGATGCACAAGTCTGGAAAAGTTCTAGAAAGTTACCCTTTAAAAGTACTTTGTAAAATTCTAGAAAGCAGCTTGAAAACTTTGCTTGAGCAATTTGAAAAAGTAACTAAGTTCTGGACCTTCAGGTTTCAGAAAAATTACTGGTACTTTCTGCAAAAGCAGCGTCGGCATTTTCTGGAACATTCTAGAAAAAATCTGCAAGTTTTAGAAACGAATCTGTAAGATCTGAGAAAGTGACGGTTACGTTTTGGGAAATCTGAAGCTGCATAAAGGCAACCTGTATGTGTTAGAGACACATGATGTTTACTGCAAAAATAAAATAAAAAGTTCTGAAAGAGCAACGTCCAAGTAGTAGAAAGTCCTTCAGACTTCCTGTTTGTCCCTGCAGGTGGTGAACCGCGGCGATCCGTATCCGCAGGAAGTGGGCGCCACGGTGCAGCGGGTGATGGAGCGACTGGGACACTGTAACCCCTACAGACTGGTGTGGCAGTCCAGGGTGGGTCATGAGTTTATTCCACTGCACTGTAAAAAATCACTTCCTCGTATTTATTGAACATTTCCCATCAACCACTTCGTTTCAGGACGGCAGTTTTCAAGATGGCTGCCGATTTTGAACCTTTCAAACAAGTTAATGTCTTATAATGTTTCCCATTTTAATGAACCACCATGTTTTCAACGTTGGTCATTTTATTCTTATTCACTTTAAAGTAACAATATTTAGAAAGATTAGAAACTAAACCCTTTGCTGTTTTTACTGGTTTCATACCAGTTGTCGACTGGAGGAGATGAAGATGTGATTTTACTGGTTATTTTTAAAATGTTGTTTTAGCTTCTGCTTGTTTTGTTTCTTAAAACAATTCGACTTTAATTTGACACCAAACTTATTCATCAAAACTAAACTTTCCATGACAAACATCTTGAAAATATCAGTAAATATGAGTTAAATTGGTCCAAATATGAACAATTTGACAACAGAAAATCTCTAATAAATATTGGTGCAACAATAAATTTTCTTTGGCGACCATCCTAAATATTTCACCAATTAAGGTGAACAGTTTTGCTGAAATCTTAAATCTTTTGCTGCACTATCAATATTTCTCCACAAGATGGCGCCAGATGTTAGCGAGCAGCCAGAGCCGGTGACCATTGGTGGGTTTGTTGCAGGTGGGCCCCATGGCGTGGCTCGGCCCCCAGACCGACGAGGTCATCAAAGGTCTGAGTGAGCGAGGGAAGAAGAACATCCTGCTGGTTCCCATCGCCTTCACCTCCGACACATCGAGACGCTGCATGAGCTGGACATCGAGTACGCTCAGGTGCTGGCCGAAGAGGTGAGGGAAGCCCAGACCGTGACCTTGACCTCTCATAAGGTCACAGTTCAGCAAAATGCTTTCCACAATAAAAGTATCTGATTTCTCTCTCAAATTGAAGCCTGAAGAAATTTCACAGAAAACAATATAGTACAAACATCATCTAATTCAAAAATAATTTATTGATCCAAAATGGAAACTAAATGTTGATGTAACTCATATTAATTAAAATTATTAAAAAATAAATATTTTTCTCTTAAATTGACCCATTTTTGCTGCTTATTAAAAATCCACCTGGACGGTTTTTGGTTTAATGTTTTTTGGTGTCTGGAAAATGAGCCGTTACAGAAACATCCAGATTGTCTCAGCTCATTGCCTAGCAACCCCAGCAGAGTTCCAGCATGTTTGGTCAGCTGGTTTTTTACAATGGCTGCTGGTGTTTTTGGGAAACAGAAAACGATAAATAAAAATGTTCTTTTAGAGAAAACTGGTGCAAACTGAAAATATTTAAATGTATTTTTCCTTCAATCAAAGCGATTCTGCATGAAAACGTGGCTTTCATCAGCTGATGGTTTTCTGTCTGCAGTGTGGAGTGGAGAACATCCGGAGAGCCGAGTCGCTGAACGGAAACCCGCTCTTCATGAAGGTGCCTCCATCATTCTGTCACATTTAGCTTTTTATTTAAAGCTGTTGAGGAAGAAAAAACCAACAAAGCAGCTTTAGTTGTTTCCTGACTGGAATCAAATGCAGCAGGTCCCTGACGCCTGCAGCAGGTCCCTGACGCCTGCAGCGGGTCCCTGACGCCTGCAGCAGGTCCCGGACGCCTGCAGCAGGTCCCGGACGCCTGCAGCAGGTCCCGGACGCCTGCCTGCTCTGCGGTCCGGCGGCGTCCAGCTGCAGCTGCTGCCGTTATTAAGAAGGTCCAGATCAATGGAACCTTTCCAGCTGACTACAGTAGAACTGAACGGCCCGGCTGCTCAGACCCGCTGCGCTCAGAGACTCCTGGCGAGCCTCCGAGTGTCGGCCGGGGAGGAAATCAATATCCAGAGGATGATTAGTTGGTAGTTACTGAAGGATGGTTTCCTTGGTGCACTTTTAGTTTCTTTGTGAGGCGCTGCTGCTGCTGCTGCTGCTGGAAATGAAGAAAAATGTGTTGATCTGGTTCTGCACAGCGAGACGGAGCTCAGACTGCAAACCTGAGCGAGTTTAATCCCTGCAGGGATTATAATCCACTGCATGTCCAAATAATGAGCACTGAGACGATTAATCGTCATTAATCAATTACTGAGATAATCATCAGGTAATTTCATAATCAATAATCATTAAATACTCAGAGCAATAATTCAGGCAAAACTTTAAAAAAATCATTTGTAAATTTTGCTTTAAGTATAAATAAAACTGTAAAAATGTTTAAACCAAAACAGATTTAAAAAAAGAATTTTAATATTTTTCTGTCTAATTATTAATCATGAGATTCAGCTGCAGATCCATCCTTTGACACAAATGACCAAGTTCATTAAAAAGGATCTGATTAATCAATTAATTGATTGATCGATTCTTCAAACTACAGAAACATTTAGAGAACAAACTGACAGAATCTAAAAGGGACTTTAATCTGTTTTAGTTACTTTTAAAATGAAGAAACTTTCCATGAATTCTCGGCTTCATGAAGAGAAAACATCGCGTTGCTGTTTGTCAGGAAGCGTTAATATTCGGACGTAAACCGTTTGTCTTCGGTTTGATGTTCAGCAGCTTGAATATGTAGAAATGTTTTCTGAAAGCGTCTCCGGTTCGGTTTCCAGGCGCTGGCTGACCTGGTCCAGTCCCACCTGAAGTCCAACGCGCCGTGTTCCCGCCAGCTGACGCTGCGCTGCCCGCTCTGCACCAACCCCACCTGCGGCGAGACCAAGGCCTTCTTCGCCAGCCAGAAACTCCCGTAAGGCGCCGCGCCGCCAACAAGCCGGAGACGCTGCAGGCTTTGGGTTCGTCAGCGACCCGGGAGGAGAACAGCAGCAAAATGACTGGATTCTGTTGCAAGTTCATTTTAAAAATTGATTTCTGGGATTCCCTTTGGTTGACGTCTGTGTAGATAGAGAAACTGACTTTTATTTGTTTGAGTTTATTTTTATTTGAGTCTCCCGTCTCTACATGTTCTTCCCGACTGCAGAAGGATTTAGCTAAAAGCTCCAAACATCCTGCAGGTATTCATCTCAGACCCAGTGTGGACAACAGCTTTTTAGGGAAACTGGAGGAAATCAAAGTAAATTTTCACCAAAAAATGTGGAAATTGTGAGATTAGTCTCAGAAATATTCTAGAGAAACTTGTGAATCTTTTAGCTCCAAAAGTCAAAGATTTGCAAGAAAAAACTCAGGAAAAAAAACAACAAAATTTTCTGAGTTTCCAAAGTCCAACATTTTGACTTCTGTAACTCAGAAATGTTCAAAGTTTTTTGTGGGTAAATTTACTTTTTTCTCTCTATAAACGGCCTTTAAATGCAAGTGTGTAAAAGTGTGGGCTCTAGTTTTTGTGCTCTTTATGAGCATTGTGCCTTTTATACACTGGATCCACTGGACTGGTGAGTAAAATCCACCCAACGTTTGTTCCTGCTGTGACTTCAACCTTTGACATCAATGTTCTTATTGAGCTGAAAAAACAACTGAAAAGGTTTAGCTAACAGTAAGTTAGCAGACAGTAGGCTAACGTAAAAGTTTAATCAGCTAATTTTGCGTTGTATTTACTTTGCAAGTCAGAGCTAACAGTAAACTAACTGTAAACATTTACCTAACATGCTAACAGAAAACATCTAGCAGACATTAAGCTCACATAAAAAGCTTTTTTTTTAACATTCTCCAAGCTAAAAAGTTTTACTTTGCAGTCAGACTTTGCTAACTGGCAGCTAACAGCTAACATCGCGAAAACTGGAGTTTGGTTTGCCATAAGATAACTAGAGGATTGGTTTAGCTTGGAGAAGGCTAACTGAAAAGCTAACAGTTAGCAAGCTGAAAAACATTTACCTACAAGTTGATTTGCTGAAACAGTTTACATGTATGCAAGTCGACTGAAAATATTTTACCTATCTTCAAACAGTTTAGCTTGTAGTAAACTAATTTGAAAGGCTAATCAATTGGAAAACAGTTAGCTTACTGCTAGCAGAATGCAAAGGCTTAGCATGCATGAGCTAATTAGCTACGTTTGGGTCATTTAAGGAGAATTATGGTCAGATTTTACAGCAGTTATGTGTTTAATGCTTGCTGTAATAATTAGCAACATTTAAGAAAGATGCTAAATGGTTTTAGCAATACCAATTAAGCTAGCATGTGCTACCTTTACTAGAGCTTTCATTGCTTAAAAGTTTATTTTTGGTAAAGATGGAACATTATTCCCAGCTATTTATGATAAATCTCCATGAAGACATATTTTAAATTACTTTCTTGATGCTAATCTACGCACAGAATTGCCTGTTATTGTTCTTCCACTGGATTAAAACGGATCTCATTTTTTATATATATTGAGTTATGTGAGAGTTTTCAGATGTTAGCAAAGATCTTTATGTTGTTAAATGTGTTTTGTTGGATTTTCTTATGTTTTTCATACGAGATTGGATCATTCAGTTGGTAATTATGCTAATCTATGCTAATCTGGGCAAATTCTGACCCGAAGTTACTTATTATAACATTAATAAAATTCTGTGTATTCTTAAAAACTACTTTTTCATTTTAAGATTTAAAGTTGTAGATCTGCTCTGTAAAGTTTTCAGGCCACAAAACAAAGACTAAACTCTATTATGTTTCCTAATTTAACTCTATTGTAGCTTAAAACATGGAATTGTTGCAAAATATAATTTAGTTTGTTTTTTTTCTCTTTGGATTTATTTATTATTGTGTTCAAACCATGTAAATATAGTCCAAGTTAAAAGTTTGAAGCATTTATTTGTTGAAGTAAGCGGTGCTGTATGATGTTACATAGAGACGATGAGGTCTTCCTTCAAATTGACATAAATATCTGTTCCTAAAACAGTCTGGATCTGTGTGTGTTCCTGTCCAACCGTGTCCAAATTTCAACCATCAAACTTACAACAAGATTATTTTGGTCAACAATGTCCAAAAAATGTACATTTTTAACTCTGAATCAACAGCTGGATGGATGGAAACTGACAAAATATTTAGATTTTCTGCTTTTCAAGTAAAAACGCCCGTAGAGGTCAGACGTTGTAAAAAGGAGTGAAATTCATTTTCTACAACAAAACAAGGCAATTTGTGAGAACCTAGAAAAGCAAATTTGCTAGAAAAAAATCAGCTTAATCTTAGAAATTTTCTAGCATATTTCAAAATCGTAGCATATTTTGTGGTGTAATTCCTACGCCAGACGCCCCCTGGTGGCGTGGAGGACTTTTGTGTTTGCAGCTTTTCACACTTTCTGTCTTTTCTCCTTTGCTCCCATGTCTTACGTTTGAAACATTGTTCTGTTGAATGTGTTTTATTTTTTGGAGTTTGCATCACAGTTTAATGCATCTGTCGGCCATTTTACTTTTTGGTGAAATTAAGGCATCTTAAACTGGACTTGTGATGCTTTGAGCTTTTCTAGGATCCTGAGAAGCTTTTCTGGATCAGAACAAACACAGGAACATAAACACAGGAAGCCAACTTTATTTATAAGCACCTTTAAATCAGCAAAATGACAGAAGTCTTATAAAAACATCAACATAAAATATGTTTTACTTATAATCTGCTGATTTTTATTGTGGTTTCTCATATTTGGTATTTCTTTTTTAGTGTTTGATCTCATATCTGTTTTATACAAATTGTCTTTTAAACTAATTTTAAGTAATTTCACACCTTCGTTCTGTTTCCTTCATCATCTCCGTCGTTTTCTGCCAGACTCATCACTTGTTTCCTCCTCTTTCCTCTGCTTTTCTTTTGTCTTCGTTATCTTTTCCTGCCGCTGTCCTCACATCCATTTGTCCTTTTTTCCAATCTTTGACTCATCCTCCCGCTCTGCTGTCCCTCCTCCAGACCTTCCCATTCATTCCTATCTCACCCCCTCCATCCAACCTTTTTTTCCCAGCAGTCCCCTGCGGTGTTGCAATCACCTCTGCTGCTGTTGATTAAGCTGAGAGAGATTGGCTGTCCACGACCCAATAACCCCCGAGGGCGGCCACCCTCCCCCATCTTTATTCGCGGTCCTCCCCCGTATCTGAGCCAGCAACAATCTTTCATTTCATTTTGGTTCTCCTCTCCTCATATCTCTTCATCTCCTGTTCCTTTTTGTCCAAGATTTTCTATCTTTTCCCCTCCCATCCATCTCCTTCTTATTCATTTCCTCGTTCTCCTTCTTCCTGCTGACGGACGCCTGAAATCGTCACGCCGACCCAAACATCAACATCCACATGGTGATTCGGTCACATTAATGATTGTGTTGAATTAAATCCTTAAAAACTCTTAAATTCATTTTAGAAATGTAAAGTGGCCTTAAATACATTAATTACAGGTATTATATTTTCTCAGAGCAGCACTATTTCATCTTAGCTACTGCTAACTAGCTGCTAATATAACCTTGCTAGCTTGCTAAAAGCTAAATATGAGCGTGTATCTCATATGTTGGGTATTTATTCTCACAGGACAAAAAACCTAAATGTTCTGTTATTTTAGACGGTTCAGGCTACGGCTAACTAGCTGCTAATATACCCAAACTAGCCGGCTAGCTAGCTAAAAGCTACATATCTCCGTCCATCGTACATAAAGGACTTTTGTTCTTGCGAGGCTTTTCTGTCAGACAACAGTTTGATTGACTCTTAAATATTTTTAACGTTAGCATTCTGTGAGTTCAGGTGATTGAGGCTACCGCTAACTAGCTGCTAATATACCCTGACTTGCTACCTAGCTGAAAAGTACATATGCAAATACATTTTCATGAATATTAATAAGTTATGGACTTAATACAGGCTCCTGTTTCTTGCTGGTCTGTTTTTTTTTTTCACACTCATCCAAACCTTGAATAATCAAACTGAATAAATGCTTGTTTGTTTCTGCCTTGTGAATTCAGCGCAGCGACGTCGCCGGCTGTGTACCTCTGTGAATGTCCCTTTAAGTGGACATCCGTCCCTCTGGGTGTTGCGTCTTTCGCCAGTAAATTTTGTGGGTTGACCTCTGTGACCTCGATGTATGCTAACGCAAACCGATGCCACATCTGAGCCTCAGTTTGGACCGGCGGCGCTGAAGCGTCTCACCTTTGTGTCCTGATGTCTCTCTCTGAATCAATCCGCCATCTTCTGCCGCGCCTCTTTTCTCTTCTCCCAACATCCAAAACCGTTCTTTTATTTGAAATCTTTAGTGTGAGGGATTCAGGAGGGGGTTGTAGGATGGTGTGTGTGTGTGTGTGTGTGTGTGTGTGTGTGTGTGTGTGTGTGTGTGTGTGTGTGTGTGTGTGTGTGTGTGTGTTTGGGTAACTGCAGGCTGCTGGTAATTGAAAAGCCAGGATACCAGCACCTGCAACCCTCTGACCTCCTATAGAGAGAATAAGCATTGATTTTCCAAAGAAAGGGACGGAGCAGAGAGTCGGGAGAAAGAGAAACTGGAGGAAAAATTACAGAGGAGGAAAAGATAAAGTGTGGAGATGATACAGAATCGGGACAGAAATAAAAATCAAACTGGAAGGAAGAGAGGACGGGTCACAAAGGGCGACGTTTATTTCCTCACCTAAATGTTTGCAGTTATGTTTTCAATCAGGATTTAATTCACTAAGGAAAAACAAACTGAGAAACAGAGACAAAGACCTGTTTGGATAAAATGACAAAACTAATAATCCACCCAGTATTTTATTATCAGTTTTAAGGAATAAGTGACTGAAAACAAGATGAAACGTTCCTTGTAAGTAAGTTTTGGCACTAAGATATTTTAATTAGAAAGTAGATCAAAAATCCTTTGTGAGATTTTTTGCAGTGTTGGTCCAAACACGGTGGTGGCAGTGTGATGGTGAGGGCTCCTGTTAATGAGGACCAACATTTTGCAGCGCTTTCCCACGCTTTACTCCACCTTATCAGACCTGCAGGTAATAGAGACACGATGTCGCCACATTAGCGGCCAGAGAACGGGCTGCTGTTGTGGTAACGGGCCGACGAAGAGGAGCGCGAGGGAAGATGGGACGGAGTGATTAAAAGTGGAGGCGGGGAGGAGCCGGAGGTTAAAGGGGAGAAGTGACAAGGTGGATTGATGGCAGAGAGGGATGCTGGGATGATTACAAGGAGGAACACGGAGGCCATGGAGTCATTAGGACACAAATAAAAACAGACGGATTTACAGAGCCGCTAAAACCAGGAGAGGACAAAATGGTTTCACTTAAAACAAACGGAGGATCAATTGGGAACAATCAGTCAGGATGGAGAACCAACATGGACGACATGCACAGGTTTACCAGCCTGAGGACAGTTAGCAGGAATCTGATCAAAGCAGTCATCCAACAAAATGTCCATCCAACCATCAAAACATGCAACCATCAAAACATGCAACCATCAAAACATCCAACCATCAAAACATCCAACCATCAAAACATCCAACCATCAAAACATGCAACCATCAAAACATCCAACCATCAAAACATGCAACCATCAAAACATGCATCCATCAAAACAAGCAACCATCAAAACATCCTACCATCAAAACATCCAACCATCAAAACATCCTACCATCAAAACATGCAACCATCAAAACATACAACCATCAAAACATGCAACCATCAAAACATCCAACCATCAAAACATGCAACCATCAAAACATTCATCCATCAAAACATCCAACCATCAAAACATGCAACCATCAAAACATGCAACCATCAAAACATGCATCCATCAAAACATCCTACCATCAAAACATGCAACCATCAAAACATGCAACCATCAAAACATCCTACCATCAGAACATGCAACCATCAAAACATGCAACCATCAAAACATCCTACCATCAAAACATCCAACCATCAAAACATGCAACCATCAAAACATCCAACCATCAAAACATCCAACCATCAAAACATGCAACCATCAAAACATCCAACCATCAAAACATCCTACCATCAAAACATGCATCCATCCATCTTTCCATCTTGAGCCTTTGATTTTTCCAAACCAGATAAAACATTTTGATAAAAATAAAACCTTGTTGACTCCCCTCACATCCCTGTAGCGCCCCCTGCTGGTTGCTTCTCTGACCCACCAGAATGAATCAGCAGTAAAACATGTTTGATCTCCAGAGAACAAAGACAGGACTCAGTGTTACATGGATCAGACCATTGTGATTTCTTTATTGATTTTTTTCTTCTTTTATACATAGAGTGGAACATTAATTACCCAAATATCTCCTTCTTGCTTCGTCGCATCGTTTTATTCCACACCACAAGTCTGCAGTCACTTCTCTTTTCTTATTTGAAACCAAATTACAAAACAAAACGTTTTACCTTTGGTCACTGTACAACAAATAGAAAATAAATCTATTAAATAAGAAGAAGAGGAAGAAAGTTAAAAAAACATAAGAAACGACTGGATGAGCTGATGATGTTTCCTGCCACTTTGACCGACCTTTGACCCTCAGCTTTGATGCTGCTGATGTTGAATCAAACTGAGAAATGCACTTTTACCAATGTATTTTAATTAATATTTTTATTTTAATATGATTATTGAGTTTTTTTTTGCCATTTTATCCATTCCTGATTTTATTTTGTACCTGAAACAAACCAAGTTTCATCCATCAGCCTAATTATGATGTTTTTTTATTTTATTTTAGCTACATTGTTTTAATTTAACTATGGTGAAAATTTATCATTAACTAATTTAAGACAACTGGATATTTTTATTTTTATCTGAAAATTTGATATCAGTTTTTTTCACAAATAATTTGGATCCATTGAATTATGTATGGAGCAAAAATGGGGCCAGAAGTTTAAAACTGAAAAAAAACAAAACTTGATTCTGAAACATACTGCTCAACTTTTTTCATACTTTCAAATCTTTTTATTCAGTATCATCAAT